AGTCGCATATCATCACCGGATATCACGGCAGCCCCTTTAGAACCACAAAGAGTGGGGTAAGAGCAGTGGCCATGGGAAGAATAGGTCCTAGCAGGAAAATAAGGGACCAACAGATGGTGAAAAGCTAAATGAGAGAGAGAGCTGTGCACTCAAACTCTGAGCTAAAGCCTCTACAACTAAACCAATCTTGAACAGCATTTAGTGACATAAATAATGCAGATAAAATTATATGCTATAGGAAAATTCTTTTGAGTTAGCAAGCTTATTTTTATAGATGTCAAATATTTTGGCTTCCTAAGGAATTCTTTACCTGGTATCCTATAAATACTTTATTTCAGGAATTATGTATAGAACATGACTCAAAATTTGGGGAAATAACAGCTTACCTTACTGACGAGGAAAAAGCAAGTAACAGATGATGCTTTCCTGAAATTTCCTACTGTATTCACCTAGTTGCGATGGCGCAGTGGCAAAATATGCCAGGGAATTACTTCTCAACAAAATTCTATTAATGAACATTATTAGAAAGTGCACTCTTCTGTTCCCCAGGTATATTTAGGCCTTCTCATCCTCCCTTCCTATTCAACATCTCTCTCATACTTTCCTTTTCTTTATTTCTCTAGATTACATTCTGCTAACTTCTTTGGTCTTATCGTTCAGCTAATTCTCCCTTGGCTTATAATTTCTGGCTAAACCAGGACTTTTTCCTTCATTTTTCCTTTCTTTTTTTTTTTTCTGTGCCAGTTCAGTATACATCCAAAATAAAGACACACATAGATACCAACCATTCATTTTAGGGTATCTAATCTACCATTCTATTATTATCAGACAAGGAAATCTTATCCTATCCTTACTCAGCACTTCCCTCTTCTTTCCCCTCCTGAAATTCATTTAGACACCAAGTATTTCATATAATCTAAGAAACTCCCAACCCATCCCCCTCTGCTAATTCCGGCCCTCCCCGTTTCCTAGACAAGCTGTTAAAGCCTCCCAGCCCAGTCTAATGACCCGTCTTTCCTCACACTAAGGTTTGGAGGTAGTAAGAGCTAGACATCAGTTCCAGACTCTCCACTGGGTTCCAATCCATCTCAGTCTGTCCTTGTTCCCCCCACTTCACGTCCATCTTCCCTGCCTCACAGTCAACCCTATAGATTTCAGCAGATAGCACCAAACACAGAAGTGACAATTTTCATAGACTGTTCAGCTTCTATAATTATATATACTATAGCTATATATTCTTCATTAGATCTTGTGTTTTGCATCTGTGAGCAAACCTTGACTGATACAGCAGTATCTAGAGATCTGCTCATTATAATCCATCAGATGGATATAACTTAGCTTATTCATGCAACTCCAAGTCCCCTAGTGATGGACAAATGGGTTGTTTTTAGTCCTTGCTCTTAGGAATAGTGCTGTGGTGAACATTAATATCTTTTCAGACTTTTATTAGTCTATCTCTGAAATAGATTCTTAGAGGAAGACTATGGGTCAAAGGGTAAATAATCATTACTGCTATCAGTTCTCTTCCCTCCTTAAAATCTATGACTTCTTCTGGAAACCATATACGCAACTGTGGCAGATACTGGTAGTTGTTAATATCCATCTCTCATCATTGCATAATAAAATTTTTAGTTGGACACTAAGCTAAAGACAACTTTTCTCAGCCTCCCTTGTGACTGGGTGTGGCACCATGATGAAGTTCTGACCAATGGAATATGCACAGATTTAATATGTGCAATTTCCAAGTCATTCTTTAAGAGAAGGAGAATTCTCTTCCCCTCCCTTCCTTCCCCCTTCCTTGTGGCTGAAATGTTTCTGTGATGTTGGGAGCAAAGCAGCCATCTGGGACCAGAAGCTGGAAAGTCACAAAGACAAATGGAGAAACCAGACAGGATTCTGGTGTCCTGATATTTATGTGAAAGAGAAATAAATTTCTGTCTTACTTAAGGCCTTACCAAGAGTTTACTGTTAGCCTAAAGAATATATCTAACTTTTTTTAGAATCATCTACTTCATGAATATATCTATGTTTAAGAGGTCATTCCATACACAGATTTTTTAAACATTGCATTATACTCAAAAGTTATCTTTACTTATATATGACTATGTTTTGTCTAATTAAGATTACTTAGTAATTAACCTAAATGGGCTGTCATGTAACGAATACAACTCCCGATTATTTTTGCAAAGGATTGTCAGCCTAGTATTTAAAATACATTTGTGAACCTTCCCAGTATGAATTCCTTTAAAAAACTCGAAATGTAAAGGTTCATACCTTTGGTCTACGCTATTTTAACTATTCCCAAATGTATGCTGAAAATTCATAAAGAATGTAGGAATAATAGTCAGCCTATTAAATTATTATTTATGTATATTAAAAGTCTTCCCATTGCCACCACTTCTAAGTAGCCTCTGTGATAAACCTACAGTATCTTCTTTCATTGCTCTATCTGATTCTGTTAATACAGAAATGTCTTCTACAAAGCATCTCAGATTACTGAATCAAAAATGCTCCATTCCTTTTTATATCATTCTGAACAGAGGGAAGTTTGGCGTTTCCTCCAGCAGCGTGAAGCAGACCTGAGAGATGAACAGAGCTAGGAAGAGTTGCTGCATGGAAGGCAATGAAAAATCAGAGACAGAACAGGCAGCGCCCCTCCCCTCCCCCGTCCCTTCCAGTAATATGGTCAACTGGAAGATACCACTTGAACCAGAAGCTAAGTCTAAGAAAACCATGGGTTAAGAGCGTCCTGAATTCTAAGAACTGAGAATCAAATAAGATAAAGAGAGATAGGCAGCATCAGTTACTGTTTCAGAACTGATATGAAGCACTGGTTCTCAAGATTTAGTTGGAGTCAGAGTCACCAGGAGGGCCGCTAAGAGACAGCTGAGCCTCACTCCTGGAGGTTCTAATTCAGCAGGTCATGAAGCGAGGCCTGACAATGTGCATTTCTAATAAGCTCCCAGGAGGCTTAGGCTGCTGGCCCAGGGATCAACTCTAGAGAACACAGTTTTGGCCTTCTCATCCTCCCTTCCTATTCACCACCTCTCTCATACTTTCCTTTTCTTTATTTCTCTAGATTACATTCTGCTAACTTGCAGAAAGTTTTGGTGGCTCACTCTTTTTTTCTAGACTACTTTCTTCTGCAGAGAAACTCTCTAGCTGTGAAAGAAACTATTTTGCTCTTTACTGAGCCCCTGGAGGTCAAGAAAAGATTCAGAGTTAAAGTCCTTGAAATGGCACATAATCATTGGGAAACTTCTGAAAAACCTTCGAGCCCCATTCCTCATCAGTGTTTTTCATAATCTCTCCCAGCGCCAAGGCTACAACAAATTTCGCAAGTTCATTCTCTTAGCAGGAATCCTGTAACATTACACATTTCCTTTACCAATGTTGATTTCCAAATTTGCAGCAAACTGAATATTACTTTTCTAAGTTTCTTATTCACTCTCCGTTTATTAAATATGTACTGAAAAAATCTGCATTAGTTGATAAGTTTGCACAGTTAGTTGGCCTTACAAATATAATATCCATAGGGGATCTAAAGTAATTAGCAAATAGCCACTCAGTGTACACCTTCCGTGATTTCCTGTTCACCTCAAGACTTTAAATTCTTATGTTATTTCTAATTCCATAATGAGATATAAATCACAACAGAGTTCCTAAAAAAATGTAAAGATTCCATTTAAAATATGTTTAACTTAAGAGCACTGGAACTCTGAAAATTTTCCAATGGAAGTATAAAATGGTATAACTCCTTTGAAAAACTCTTCAGTAAATTCTTACCAAGTTAAATCGTCTACCCTGTGAAATGCCAATTCCATTCCTGGATGTTTATTACTCAAAAGAAAGGAAAGAGTATGTTCACAAAGCACCTATTCAAGAATGTCCCTAGCAACCTTGTACAAGATAGGCAAAACTGAAAACAGTGATGGACATTTATTCATCAACAGGAAACTGGATAAATCGTGATTATATTCATACAGCAGAAATACTACTCAGCAATGAAAAAGGCATAAACTCTTGATAAGCAACCACGTGAATGAATCTCAAAACATGAGGTTGAGCAAAGGAGGCAAACACAAAAGAATACATATGGTGTGATTCATTTCTATGAAGCCCTAACACATGTGCAACTAATCTCTGGGGAAAGAATCACAAAGTGGCTAAGTTTGGGGTAGAGAAAATAGATTGGCAGGGAAGAGGCAGAAGGAGCTTCCTGGAGTGATGAAATTGTTCTAGATTTTGTTTTTCACAGTCTTTACCTGAATGTGTAAGACCGTCAAAAAAAATCTATCAAACTGAACACTGAATATCTGTGCCCTTTACTGTATGTAAATCGCGTCAATAAAAAATGATAAGCTTAACTATTCAAGAAAAAGAATGATTTACCAAAGCAATGTTCTTTATATTCAAAATAAAATATACTTTAGACAGAATAGTTTGATATTTAAGATTTCCATTATAGGTAATAAATAAGCAGTCACAGATGAAGGTTACAGAATTATGATTCTGAGCTCAAGGTAGGGTGACTGAACATCTCAGTTTGCCTTTAGACAGTCATTCTAGTGTTGACCTAAAGCCATAGCACTGATAGTGCCGCCTTTGCTATCAAATGTATCCTGATTTAAAGGAAGACCCATAGCTAAAAGGACATTTGATATTATTTGGTACAATGCACGCATTCACTTTGCCATTCAATCTACATTTACTAAGCATCTACTATGTAGCTAAACATAGTCTCTATGTTCTTGCTAACATTTCACATTGCTCCTTTGTTTCCACAATCAGAACCTAAAACAGCTAGATGGATTTTTCCCTAAAGTTAGCATAAAATAAACAGCGAAAGACAAACTAAATATAGAAGAAAGCAATCAGAATTTTCTATAAACAAGGAAAATACAAATACAGCTTATAAAAAAAGGGTTGCAATTCTTTTGAGCTGTGTGAAACAAAATGCATAAAGATAGTCACAAATATAAAATAAAGGAAACCTTTACCTGCTGCCCTGTAAAGTATTTTAGGTTCAAAAAATATACAAGGATTTTTATCCTCTATGCATGACAAAAGAAGTCCCTTGGCCTGGAAAGGGCTTCTGGGTACAACCACCTGCAAAAACAGATTTTTTTTTTTTAAAGACCATTTCAGTACAAAATGTAGCCCAGTAAACTCACTTATAAGAAGGGTTGATATTTCAGTAACTTATTGTCACTAATTGCAGGGATCTTGTATTTTTAGCTTAATTACCATTATATATGTTACATATTGTCCCACCCCCCAAAAAAATTCCATTGTTAAGCAAGTATTTATCAGATGTCCATCATAGTCCGGTAGCTAAGATACTGTTCTCTTAAAAAGCCAAACTTGCATACGTATACTAAAAGCAATCTGCAAGAAGCAAAGTTGTCGATATCTTCCTATATTCACCTATAAAAAAAACTTTTCCACTAATACTCTACTGCTACTTTCAAAGGGCATGTAATTCTTCTCCAATTTTAATATACCAAAATCTCCTCCTTTCCCATGAAACACAGGGTCTTCATTTCCTAAGAGGAAAATAATCCACTGAACTTTATGATCTGGGCACTGTAATGTCTGGTTATTGCAAAGCTGAAAGGAAAGTGTAGATACTGCCCACTTCCTCTTGAGAAGGCCTTTGAGAAGGAGGAAGATGACCACAGAAGGTGGCACAAGTGTTAACTGGGCCAAGCACTCTATGTGGATACTAGTGTTCATAGCAACCCATACTATTATTATTTTCCCCAATTTAGAAAGAGACACAAAGGATTAAAAGAGAGATCAAATAATTTGTCCAAAGTCACATTGATTGCTTGACCAGGGATTCTTCCACAGTTCTGACACCAGACCCTAAGCTCTTACTACACCATTTTGCCTCAAACCACAAGCTTATGTCTAGTTTATAATGACCATTAAATAACTGCATAAACACCAGTAGGTTGCATAAATACCAGTGAATACCAGTGTTACATAGGAAGAGTTATTAAAATAAATCTGAGTTGATCTCAAAGATTCAAATAAGATTCCTTGAAACAAACTACATTTGGCTTTCAAAATCAATTTTACACCATTTTAAAACTTTAGGATTCTTATTTAAAAAATAGCACAAATCTCACTCTTTTCTGTAAAAACAGACTGCTGAACACATTGCTTAGCATACTACACAATGTCTTTAGGTTCCTACTTCAGTTTCTCTTCATCTGCTTTCCTCGTGTATTTTTAACATTTTGTACTATTTTCATTTGGGATTAAAAAGAGGGCAAGGGGCAAGTGGAGAAAGTCAGGAGATTGTGGAAAAAAAACCTCTTATTAAAAATTCTGGGTAAGATCATAAACTTTAAATGTGAATCAGTGTTCAGCTCAAGCACAAAAATAAGTGTTGTTTCAAATGTGGCTTCTGTCCCAACCTACCACACCACTTCCAGCTTACATTGAAAAGTTATGCAACCCCTACTCAACTAAAAAAAAAAAAAAAATTATGACTGCTCTGGTAGAAAAAATAAAAATAAAACACACGTGTTTACAACCAATTCATGTTACCAAACACACATACATCACTAGGTGGACACAGGAGTTTCTATCACGATGCCCTAGAAAGCTCTTCAGCAAATAGAAACCGAAAAGATAATGTAAAAAATTAAAACATAAAATATGCAAAAAAAAAGCCACTTTTTTTTTTAAATCAAAAGACCTAAACTATTGTGAAAGACGTAAGATTATTATGGAAGGCTTTAAAAGACAGATGCTTCAAAATTGTTTGATCAAGTATTGCCTTACCTGGAAAACACATATGGATAAGAAGGGCTTCTCTTAAACTGAAGCAAAAGTCCTATCCCTCTGACTTTGAGGTAAATATGTATTAAACAGTAGATTTATTAAAATTAACCCAGAATCGGTTAAGTGAGTCCCATTAGAAAGAAACAGAGCTTTGAAAGAGGGGGATGTTAAACCAACTATGTTCTCTATCTCATCCTTTGAAGTTGGTGAAGTTAATGTCAGGGTTAAGCCAGTGCTACTTCAACAAGAATATTCTATAAGCCTGGGAATTGGAGAGCTGATCTTAAATAAATACTCTCTTTCTAAAAAAAGAAAAAAACAATTAAATTCACATAAATTCCATAAATCCTGTTTGCTTTCCTTTAGATAAGCATATCAGTTAACAGAACAAACCAAAATGGAAATATCCAACAGAGAACAAATAAAGTACATAAATGAGGATACCTTGATTCCTGGACAGTGAGCAAAAAAAGCTTCAGGACTCTGAGAATGATAAAGAGCCCCATGGCCGACACAGCCCCAAGGCGCCCGGATAGTGAGGCTTCCACAATTAAAAAGATCCCCAGAGCGATAGCGGTACTTGGCAGCTTCGTTAACAATCTTGGCAGTGGGGGGAGGGGAGAAGAAGGACGGGTCACAAGGGTCCTTTATTTTCCATCCCTTTCCCTAACCATTTGATCAGCTCTTTAAATATACGCCCATAACAAAATAACTCCTAATGCATTAGCTCAAAGATGACCTAAAAACCCCCACGATCAGAGGTGGGAGAGTGAAGGCAAAACTCCCAACACTTCATGGACTTAATCTAAGGAATGTTTAATTAGAGGGGTGCCTGGGTGGCCCAGTCGGGTGAGGTCTGCCTTCCCAGGATCAAGCCCCAGCATCAGGCTCCCTGCTCAGTCCGTGGGGAGCCTGCCTCTCCCTCTGCCCCTCCCCCTGCTCGTGCTCTCACTCTCTCTCATAAATAAATAAAATCTTAAAAAAAAAAAAAAGAAGTGTTCAATTATAGTAAAATGAAACCTTCTTACCTGATCAAAAGCAGGGAAAATATAATCTGCAAACTGAATTTCTGCAATAGCGGTCGCCCCAGTGACTGCGACCCCAATTCCAAACCCAACGATCCCTTGTTCACACAACGGCGTGTTGAAAACTCTATCTTTTCCTAAAAAAAAGAAAAAATAGTCCTCATATGACAAATGGGAGTGATGTAATACACAGCACAACTGAAAACTCAGGGAGTTAATGGTGACAGAGAAAAACAGCATAGAAGAGGTGAAGGAAATAGAAGATAACTAGCATGAGGGCTGGTTTAAATACAAACATAATAATTATATTAACTGTAAGTAATCTTAGTGTTTCAACTGAAAGAAAGGTTGTCCCTCCGGGATAAAAGAAAGCAAAACCCAACTACTTAAAAGAAAACACTGAGACAATTAAGATAACAGAAGACTCAAAAGTGAAAGGAAAGAAAACGAATGATGAAAACCCTAACCAAAACAAGGTGTTGTCACCACAGGATTAGTGGACAAAGTACACTTCAGGGGAAAAGGCATTACCAGAGATAAAGCACGAAAATTCATAGTTTTAAAGGGTTCAAATCACAGGGAGGACATAATTCTAAATCTACACTCATGGAACAACACAGGCTCCAAATAAATTAGAAAAATTAACAGAGGGACGCCTGAGTGGCTCAGCTGGTTAAGCGGCTGCCTTCAGCGTGGGTCATGATCCCAGGGTCCTGGGATTGAGCCCCACATCAGGCTGCTTGCTCAGCAGGGAGCCTGCTTCTCCCTCTCTCTCCCTCTGCTTGTGCTCTCTCTATCAAATAAATAAAATCTTTTAAAAAAAAAAAGTTAAAAGAAAAATTAACAGAATTAAAAGGAAAAATGGATAAATTCCCAATATGGTAGGAGATATTAATATACCAGTATCAGTAACTGACAGAAAAAGCAAACCAAAATAAAAAGGCAGGACTAGAGAAGATTGGTATATGATTAGCAAATACGACCTAACTGACATGCAGAGGACACTGCACCCAACAGCCAAGAATACAAACCCTTTTCAAGGAAGGAGAACACGGACATTCACTGACCACAGACTGGGCTGTACGTCCAATCTCAACATATTCTGAAGGATTAAAATCATAACAGGGTGTGTTCCCTGACCACGATAGAACTAAACTAGAAGCCAATAACAGAAAGAGAGTTAGAAAATCCTAAGTTAGAAAAAAATTTTAAATATGTCTAAATATCCACGGCTCAAGGAAGAAATTATGAGGAAATTATAAAGTATTTTGAACTGAATGACAATGAGAATTATATATCAATTTGTTGAGGTTACCAATTTAGTAAGGAGTCGAGTAGCTTTTTACAGACTAACCCGCCCACATCTATTATCAACTCTGGACACAATATAACAAATAACTGACTTAAAGGCATTGGAGAGCCAAAAAGCACGCCTAACCCAAAGGGGGCTTGATCCTTGAAAGAAAGGAAGGGCAGTGGATAAGAATAACATTTATAAGTCTTGTCCCCTGAGGGGGCTTCTCCACTCTCTGTGACAAGGGACTGTTGGATTCAGACAAGACAGACTCAGTCTTTATTAGCTCGGTGGTATGAGAGAATGGGGTTCAGGGCCGCCAGTGGCTAGACACTGAAGAACGAGGCCCTTAAAAGAAGAACAACACATAGGGGCACCCCCAAGTCTGTACGTAAACTCTGTTCAAATCTTTGGCTGACCTCTATGGCTGTAGGAGACTCAAAGAACCCAGCAGATGGCAGCTGGAAGCCCAAAGAGCTGAGCAGAGATTTCGGCTCTACCCACTAAGGAAAAGACAGAATTTGGAGTTTGAGACTGTTCAAATCAAAAGTGCTTGATAAACACCTCAGGCTTTGCACTGGAACAACAAGGTGCATGTTACTACTGTTCAATTCTCATTTGAAATTTCACCACCCATCAGCCAATATCAGCATTTCCTGAAAAATCCTAATTTCAGGGAGCTGGAGAGATGCAAATAATGACCCCAGTCTGGCCAGGTGACCAAAAGTCTGTGGACAGATCGGAGAAGCATATTTCAGTCCCGTGACTGAGGGACACTGGTTCTTCTTGGTGCACAGAATCCACTCTCAGCTCAATCATTCCTTTTGAATACAGACCACAAATAAGGCAGGTGCTGGGAAACACCAGCCAGACACATCCTGTTGTCTGCACTCTACAAGCAGGTGCAAAAACTTAAAAGCCATGATTCATACTCATCATCATCTGTGACTATGTTCTGAAATTGTGACCTCTATCACTCATCAGTTCCCTATTTGAAAAAAAAAATAGCTTGATAAGTTCTGAAAATCTAGGGCTCCACTGAACTAAGAACAATTCATTAGTAGAAAATGAACAAAGATTCTAGCTGCCTCCTGTGGAATCCACATCCCTGGAATGCCTGCGCCACCTTAACCAGGTGAGCAGTGTTCTTATTTAGTCCCTGCCACTTCAAGTTCCCTGGATTCAGGTATTTGCCATTTAAGTAGATAACAGCCTTTTATTTTTTTTCTAAAGACTTTATCTTTTCATTTGAGAGAGAGCAAGAGAGAGAACACAGAGGGAGAGAGAGAAGTAGACTCCCCACCAAACAGAGAGCCCAATGTGGGGCTCAATCCCGGGACCCTGAGATCATGACCCGATCCGAAGGCAGACGCTCAACTGACTGAACCACCCAGGCACCCCTAAATACAGCCTTTTTTTTGCTGCTAGAAGACAGCAAAGTTGAGTTTCTCAGAACTGTTACTCAAACGCACGTCTGGTCTGAGGAAACAGCTTAATTTTAACAACTCTCTCCAACAAGCTGCAATGACATGAACCATATGTTAAAAATCTGTTTCTATTTTCTCCCCAAAAGGTAATGATGTGGGTAAGAACACACGTAAATTGCACGATAACGATGACTTCCTCTATGTATGCCATTAACCTGATATAAAGTTCGTACACACAGTATCCCAATAAGTAAATTAACACATACAGTGATTGCGCCATGAGGCAAGACAGATCTGGTTTTCAGTGCTATCTCCACAAATTACTAAACTCCCTAAGGCTCAATTTATTATCTGTAACAAAAGAATCATGATACTAAAAAGAGCAAAATAATTACAAGCAGGAGGCCTACTGTGATTTTAAATAGGAGGGTCAAGAAGACCTCACTGAGAAATGACATATACAGAAAGAGTTGAAGGAAGTGAGAAAGTGCACTGTGCATATATCTGAGGGAATAAGTGTTCCAGGCAGAGAGATCGGCAAGTGCAAAGGTCCTGGGGTATGGGGCATTTCTTATTACATCAGAGGAAAGGTAAGAAGTCCAGAATGCCTGGTCTGGAGTAAAAGAAATAGTGGTAGGAGATAAAGCTGAAGAGTTGAGAAAGTAGGATGGGGAGGTGGCACAGATCAGACAGGGCCTTGTAGGTCACTGTCAGCTCTCTTTTCCTATGACAATGAGTGAGTCAACAAGTAGGTAAGGGAGAGAGGAAGCCACCGAGCAAAATCACACCATTCTCTCAACTATATTCCATCTCTCTAGCTGGTATTTGGTGAATAGCCTCTAACCAGGCAAGGGGGACATGGCAAGTCTGATTACAGGATACTGCAACAATACCAGTAAGAGATGATGACACCTGATTGCAGAAAAGGTGTGAGACTCTGGATATAGTCTAAATACAGAGTCCAAAAGATTTGCTGATAAAATGGATACAGAGCGTGAGTCAGAGAAAAATGCCAAGGATGACTCTGCCAAGGATGACTCAAAGACTTCTGGCCCACATAAGCCGAAAGAGAAAGTTGCCCTTAACTAAGGAAGGGCAAAATATGAAGCATGTTGGGATGAAACACCAGGAGTTCAGTTATGGAGAGGTTACATCTGAGATGCCTTCTGATGTTAAGGTAAAGCTCGTAAATAGACTGTTACATAGAGGAGCTGAAAGTCTTCAGCATCAAAACAGCACTAAAAAGCACAGGCCTGGATGCAACTGCCAAGCAAATTTATGTGAGAACATAGAGGAAAGATCCAATGTTAAAAAGACCAGCAGTGAGAACTAATATAATCAGCAAAGTCGAAAAGAAAAAAAAAAAGCCAGAGTTTGGAGGAAACATAGAAGAATGTGCTGGCCTAGAAGCCTCTTCGAAGAGACTGGAGTAATCAGCTGGTGCTGTATGCTAACAGTTCCACGTGAGGAGGGCTGAGAATTGTGTAACGGCTGATCTTGACATTAGCAGCGTCAGCGAAGTAGGAAGGAGGGAAAGAATAAAAGCCTAGATTGAGAGGGAGTCGGGGAAGACAGATCGGAGACAATGAGTAATGATAATTATTGGGAGAGATTTTGCTGTAAAGGAGAAAAAAGGAGGAACAACTGGCTAGACAAAAATACGGGATCAATACAGGGAAGTTTTTGGTAAGACCAATAAAAAAGCATATTTGCACGCTGATAAAAATGATCAATAAGAGGGGCGCCTGGGTGGCTTAGTTGGTTAAGCGACTGCCTTCGGCTCAGGTCATGATCCTGGAGTCCCAGGATCGAGTCCCGCATCAGGCTCCCTGCTCAGCGGGGAGTCTGCTTCTCCCTCTGATCCTCCTCCCTCTCATGCTCTCTGTCTCTCATTCTTTCTCTCTCAAATAAATAAATAAAATCTTTAAAAAAAAAATGATCAATAAGAAAGGAAGAAATGGAGGTGCCTGCGTGGCACAGTTGTTAAGTGTCTGCCTTTGGCTATGATGATCCCAGGACCCTGCGATCGAGCCCCGCATCGGGCTCCCTGCTCCGCGGGAAGCCTGCTTCTCCCTCTCCCGCTCCCCCTGCTTGTGCTCCCTCTCTCGCTGTGTCTCTCTCTGTCAAATAAATAAAATCTTTAAAAAAAAAAAAAAAGGAAGGAAGGAAGAAATCACTGAGAAAATTAAATGGGGAGATGGAATAAAACTGGGGCTATGTCTTTGGTGGGGAGGGCTGGGTCTGGTGTGGAGAGGTTGACAGGAACCCTTGTGTTCAGTCAGAGTGTGGGAGAAAGGCATGGGTGGGCACTGACGCGGGTATAGGAGCGTGTGCAGCTGCAGAGCTTGTCAAAGTTCTCTCTTCACTGCATCTATCTTCTTGGCAAAACATGAAACTAGATTATTGATAAAAACTA